TAATAGGGTGACATTTTCCCCAAGCAAGAAAAAGGATTTTTAATGATGCATTCTAGTGTTAAATCAAATGTGTACTTGAAATCAAGTGTAGAGCTCAACAACATCTCCCATTCCCTGCAGGTATAATGTTGAAACCTTATAAGAGGTATCCTTGGTCCTAAGAGCAAGTCCTTATGGGTTATTATGCTAGAACCTTAAGGGACATTCTTGTGCATACACAAGATACCTTACAGGGTACTATGATAAACCTAAAAGGGTATCCTAGCACCTATGAAAAACTTCCTATGGGGTATTATGCTAAAACACCAAGGGGGTAACCTTGCTTATACAACCGACTCCCTACAAGGTATTATGCTGGAACCCCGAGGGGTATTCTTGTATCTACGCATGACTCCCTACGAGATATGATGAATATATAGAGATTGTATGTGAAGTTAGGCCATCTAAAGAAAAAGAGCGTCATGTTCGGCCCTTTCAGAACAGATATAAACAAGAACTTCAAACAATATTGACTTGACCAAAGCAAATATCTCAAACAAAAAGGAGTAAACTAAAACATCCACTACTAAAAAACGCGTAACAACAACACCAAAGTAACAATGGTTTCATATTCATCGTAGCAATATGTGATATTTAGAAGCGTGTATTTTTATTTTATTTTATTAAAATACTTTTAATCACGGTTAAAATTCCAACCGTAGTGAAAAGTGAGACCTTTCACCACGGTTATTTAAAAAACTATGATTATAGGTAGTGTCTGGTCATGGGTTTAAGCCCGAACATCAGCATTTTTGGTTTTTTACTTATTTTTTCAAAATGCTGACAAACCTTTCTCCGTGGGTATTTAAAAAACCGTGATAGATAACACTTTTTACTTATTTTTTCAAAATGCTGACATACCTTTCATCACGGGTATTTAAAAATCCTAATTATAGGTAGCGTATGGTCATGGGTTCGAGTCCCAGCACCAACAATTTTGGTTTTTTACTTATTTTTTCAAGTCTCAGCACCAACATTATAGGTGGCGCGCTTATTGAGTTTATTCACTGTCCTTAAACAAATCTTGGTCGTCCATTTAGTGATTACCAATGGTCAAGTCACTACTATTAGTGATCCGCTTGAAACCTAAAACTTAGACGAATTACATCTTCTACCTCCAAACATCATCTTTCATTTACGATGCTCTATTTCTCCACTAAACCAAACTCGAAAACAATATTTCTTTCATAAACAAAACTCGAAAATATCATTTATTTCATTAACAAATTTCAGAACTCCATTCTTCTACAACTTGAATGAGACAAGGAAAACATGAATTCGAGTTAGCAATGTTAGTTGCTGGTGTTTTTTTTTTATTATTGTTGTTCTTGTTGTTACTATTTTGTTCTTGTTATTGTTTTATTGTTATTTTTGTTGTTGTTGTTGTTGTTGTTGTTGTTCTTCTTCTTCTTCTTCTTCTTCTTCTTCTTCTTCTTCTTATTGTTATTGTTCTTGTTCTTGTTTTTGTTGTTTTTGTTGTTGTTCTTATTGTTATTGTTGTTGTTGTTTTTGTTCTTGAAGTTGTCGTTGTTCTTGTTGTTGTTCTTGTTCTAATGCTGCAATATTTTTTAATTTTATTAAAAGATATACGACAACAAATATTTAAAATAACCGTGATTATAGGTAGTTCTAATGCTGCATTTTTTTTAATTTTATTAAAAGACATACAACAACGGGTATTTAAAATAACCGTGATTATAGGTAGCGCATTTTCCAGTTTATTACCATGGTTACTGGGCCGTGTTTGTAAGTATCATATATACAACGACACTCTACATAACAACGCATGGGCCCGCGTGATTATATATCTTTCCCAACCATTGTTAAATGAATTTTCCGTAGTAGTGATCATTTAAAAGGCCCTAAAAGGGAATACATACAAAAATTGTTGAAACTGATTAAAACAAATACATCAAAATCCCTAGTTACCAAGGGAGACTTCAAATAAATCATCATTTTGAACATCGATGTCGCCTCATGTGGCTACCAATGGTTCTTGATGTTGAGTAGACACCTCCTCCAAAAAAAATTGAGTTCTCAGTCTTCACTTTCTTGGGTTCTTTAACCAATTTTGACCAACTTTAGGTATAATCTCTTCCATCAATAGCACACACACACACACACACACACACAAATCCTTTGACGTGATTTAACACACATTCATTATGTCATTGTAGTTGATGAAAGAGGCAATTTGCAATACGAACATGGTGGATTGGTGACTTTACCCAAATCCGAGCAGGGTGGATTCAGAGTTCGAGCAGGGTGAACCTGGTTCGTGAGTGAACCAGTTAATGATGATATAATACCACATGCATATGAGTCTAATTGATGTTGGAGTCTCATTGCATAACTTAAATGATGAGTATGTGATTGATTTGTGTACGTGGATGGAATGTGTGAGAACGATGTTGTGTGATTGCTGTTGAATGTGTAAATGTTTGAATTCTACCTTGCATCTTATGCTGTTAAATTATTGATTGTGAATTCTCACTTCTTTGTTTTGATGTTGTCCACCATGGACATCTTTCAGATACTCAGGAGTAGAGTTGCTGTTGTGAGTGGGAAATAACTCTTAGAGTTATTTTCATTAGTTATCGTATTTTTTAGTCATTATGCTCTAATTCTGTAACACTGAGGGCGAACAATGTTTTCTTTTATCATGTTTGATGTCAACTTACTTGTTTTGTCGAAGTTTGATGACTATTATGTTGAGTTGTTTTGAAGTTGTGTGCGAGTTGGATATTAAAAATTCATTTTGAATCATTTTATGAAAGTTAAGTCTTTATAAGACCCAAGTTAAAGTTAACATATTTTATTACTGCGATTAATGTGATTCTGCTGCGATGATACTTTAAGTGAAGGTGAGCATGCGATGACAGATGTTGTATGCTGTTTACTTTTTGCTACATGTTTTCAAAATGTATATGTTTTGTTGAAGGATTGTCGTCGGTGACACCTTAGATTGTCGAGTAAACCTTTTTATATAAATTTCGGTGATTAAGGTGTTACATAGTGGTATCAGAGTCTGGTTGGTCTGTTCGGCCAAGTTTTTGCATGATATTTGCTACGAAGAGAGCAAACTCATGTGAGATGAAAAGCTATGTATTCTCTAAGTATTTTGTGTATGTAATGAATTGTCATTCCTCATACTAGAGATGAAGTATTTATAGAGACTTATGGATCTAGATTTAAGAAACCTCTAAGAAGTGTTAATCGCTCCACCTTAACTAAAAAAACAATTGACGATCTATTTCTTAGGGAGTCGTGGGCATAACTTCGTACCTACAATTATGGATCATGTAAACGTCATTATCCACATTTATCCTTAGAGTGAGACTCATGCTACGTGAAGGTTATGCCTCAGAATGCCGCGTTGTGAGGCGGGTAAGGTATGCCGCCTGAATTTGTGGCCCCTCACCATAAATATATCACTATAAATATTAATTTTGATGTCATTATTCCTACTTATACTGTTATGGGTTTGCACTTTTATCCTATACGAGAAGCTGCATTCGTTCATGAATGGTTAGACAATTATGGTTCTTATAAACTAATTGTTCTATACTGCTTACTTAATGTAACTTGTTACATGGGTCATAAGTAAGAACTTAGTTTTCGTACAAATATGTGCTCTTAAATTGCTATTGCATATGCCATAAGTAAACATGTTTCTATCCTCTTTTCAATTATTTGACAAAATTTGATAGTAAGAAATAAGAATCCGTTACTACATTGAAAAAGTCCATATTAGGTAACCACTTACCATTTATAGTTGTTTCAAATCCAATTGATATCAACATGCCATAAGCTTGTTTACAAATTATTAATCATATTCAATACGTGTCAAATATTAAATAATAATATTCATTTAAAATGAAATTCAAAAATTAATTCACCATCAAGAAAAAGTTGTTACCACAGAAGAAGAGGAAAGCTTGGTTAATTTTGTTGAGAGATATTTAGACGTAAGAAAAAAGGTAAGCGAAATTAATGCAGTTAGGGTGTTTATTCACACCGGTTTCACGGATTTCATGCGGCCGTCACTCTCTCGTAGTCTCTGTTTTTTCATTTCCCATCCGTTGGTCTCTGTTCACTTCAACTCTCTCTCTTTTTTTTGTTTCTTTCCTTTTTCCCCTTCCCTTAACCCACATTCAATTCAATTCATTTCAATTATTCTATTCCTTATCAACTCTACCCCACCGCCCCAAATCATAACATAACATTCCCCCTTTCATATATAATACCTCTAACTCTTCTTTCCTTCACCCTCCCAATTCAAGATTTTCTTTCTTATTTCCTCCCTCCCTCATGCGTATCACAATGTGGAGATAGCGATTCTCTCTCAGATCTGATTCTTTCCGAATAGCCTAAGGTAAAGTTTGTAATCAATTTTCTCATTCCGTTATACTCAAACATTCACAGAATTTCGCATTCGAATCACGCTTTTCTTAATGCAACTTTTCATTTTCGATTCTGTTTCGCTAACGGTATGGATCTATGTAGGCGTTTATTGATTTTTCGCTGAACTTGTTTTCTTCTATTTTCAATTGTTGAATCTGTTCAAAATTGTAGTTGCTTTTTTCTATTTTCAATTGTTGAATCTGTTCAAAATTGTAGTTGCTTTGAAATTGGCGGTAATAACTGTATGCGTCAGGGTCTTAGATATTGAATTTCATTGATTGTTTGGATATTCCGTGTTGAAATTTTTTTCAATCGTTTTGTATATTGTTGTTTTGATTTACTAATTCACGCCTAGTGGATGAATCTATTAGATCTGGTACTTTTTTTTTATAAATAATTCCATAATTTCGTCTTACCTGAGAGAGATGATATTATATATAGATTAGATACATATATTATTTAATGAGTCTAAAATGTGGATGGTGTGTAATTGTTGTTTGTATGATGACCAGGTCTAAACTATCTGTAAAATACTTGACCTGGTGACACGTGACAACATGGCGCAAGCGAAATATTCGAGAATAGATAACAAAAGGTCTACGTCGGGTTACTGTTCGACAGTGACTATTGTTGTGTTTGTGGCTCTATGCTTGGTTGGGCTATGGATGATGACGTCGTATTCTGTAGTTCCTGTGCAAAATGTAGATGAGTCTTCAGTGAATAATAAGAATGAGGTGAAAGAACGGACTGAGGTGAAGGATCAGGTAAGTGAAGCCACTAGTGATGCCAGTAATAGCAATGCTCGGCAGTTTGAAGATAAGCAGGGAGATCTGCCTCAGGATGCAACCAAAATGGATAGCAGTGTCACATCTGAAAACAATCCTGTTATCCCAGAAAAACAGGTAGTTACTGATAAGGCTCCTGAAGATACCAAGCTGGTATATACTGATTCAACTCAGTACGCGAAGCCTTCTGATTCGGATGGGAGCAATAACAAACCTGTTTTTGGTGAGGATAACAAGAAATCTGATTCTGATGAGGGTGAAAAGAAGTCCAATTCTGATGAGAGTAAGAAGTCGGATTCTGATGAGAGCGAGAAGAAGTCTGATTCTGATGAGAGCAAGAAGAAGTCCGATTCTGATGAGAGTGAGAAGAAATCTGAATCAAGTGGTAACGGACAATCTGTTTCAGATGAAAAGGGGAATAGCCCTGGTTCAGATGAAAGTGAAAATAAAACTGATGACTTGAATGGAACAACAGATAATAAAACAGAAGAAAAGGTAGATCAAAGTGATAACCAGGGGTCTGATGGAAGCTCTAATGAGAAGAAAACAGAAGAAAACACCAACAACCACGGCTCTAATGAGATGCTCCCTTCTGGGGCCCATTCAGAACTTCTGAATGAAAGTACAACTCAAAATGGTTCTTTTTCAACACAAGCAGCAGAGTCAAAGAATGAAAATGAGATTCAAAAATCCTCCAAGCAGTCTGCTGGGTTCAATTGGAAACTCTGCAATGTCACTGCTGGCCCTGATTACATTCCATGCCTTGACAACTTGAAGGCAATTAAGAGCCTTCGAACTACTAAACACTATGAACACAGAGAAAGGCAATGTCCTCAAGATCCTCCTACCTGCCTTGTCCCTCTTCCTGAAGGATATAAACGCCCAATTGAGTGGCCCAAAAGCAGAGAGAAGGTAATAATAAACTAGAATGCTTGACATTCTTAATTTATTATTTTATTAATCAAAAAATAATATATATATATTTTTTTCTTTCAGATATGGTATTCCAATGTTCCACATACTAAGCTTGCTGAATATAAGGGGCACCAGAATTGGGTAAAAGTTACAGGCGAGTATCTTACTTTTCCTGGTGGTGGAACCCAATTCAAACATGGTGCACTTCATTACATCGACGCTATACAACAGGTAAATATATTTTGTTTCAGGCAGTCAGGAACTATACACTTATTGTGCAATAGGTGATATCATCTTCCTTTGAACTTTTACCAAAAGGTTTCATTTAAGTTGTTGGAGAACATATATTAGCGATAATTTTTATGTTTTCATCCTAGAATTTCTATGCAGAACTGCAGATATTGTGATATATTTTCTTGATGTTGCTAAGTATTTTACTTATAATGAATATTGATGATGCAGTTCGTACCTGATATTGCTTGGGGAAAACAAACACGTGTGATATTAGATGTTGGATGTGGTGTTGCCAGCTTTGGTGGCTTTCTCTTTGAAAGAGATGTACTTACAATGTCATTTGCACCAAAAGATGAACATGAAGCTCAGGTACAATTTGCACTTGAAAGGGGAATTCCTGCTATATCTGCTGTGATGGGCACAAAGAGGCTTCCATTCCCTGCTAGAGTATTTGATGCAGTCCATTGTGCACGCTGTAGAGTTCCATGGCATATAGAAGGTATTTCAATATTTCACCTGCATCATTAGGGCATATATACTATATATAATACGTGTAAATAAATTGGCTTTTATTTTAGAAGCTCAATATTTGTGCATGTGTAGGTGGAAAACTTCTCTTGGAGCTGAATAGAGTATTGCGACCTGGTGGTTTCTTTGTATGGTCTGCTACTCCTATTTATCAGAAGCTTCCTGAAGATGTAGAAATATGGGAAGGTAACTGATAGCACACAATTATATGCTTCTTTTAAGCATTTAAACTTTGGTATATCAAGTTTGACATTTTATGAGTTAAATTTACAGAAATGAAGGCACTAACAAAAGCCATGTGCTGGGAAGTGGTAAATATCAGCAAGGATAAACTTAATGGAGTTGGTATAGCTGTATACAGGAAGCCAACTTCTAATGAGTGTTATGAGAAACGTACCAAGAATGAGCCTTCTCTATGTCAAGACTCTGATGATCCTAATGCTGCGTGGTATTTCTCCCCTGACTGAGCCATTATAATGTTCTAAATTAAAAACAAAAATTGAAGATATTCATCTTTGTCTGTAATACATGGCTGATGGCCTCTTTCGTCACAGGAACATTTCATTGCAAACATGCATGCACAAAGTGCCAGTGAGTTCGACAGAACGTGGGTCACAGTGGCCAGAGAAATGGCCAGCAAGACTCAGCCAATCACCTTACTGGTTATCAAACTCTGAAGTCGGAGTTTATGGAAAGCCTGCTCCCAAAGATTTTGCGGCTGATTATGAATACTGGAAACGTGTAGTGTCCAAGTCTTATCTAAATGGGATGGGCATTCAGTGGTCCAATGTGCGCAATGTCATGGACATGAGATCTGTCTATGGAGGGTGAGCAAAATTGTTGTTTCCAATGTTACTCTGAATTATATTGACATGCGATTATTGTCTCATTTGTCTGAAACCTTCCTCTGATTTTTGGATTCCAGGCTTGCAGCAGCTTTGAGAGATTTGAATATTTGGGTGATGAATGTGGTTCCGGTAGACTCGCCAGACACACTTCCTATTATATATGAACGGGGGCTATTTGGCATATATCATGATTGGTGCGAGTCATTTAGCACATATCCCAGATCCTATGATCTACTTCACGCAGATCATTTGTTTACAAAGCTTAAGAAAAGGTACTAACCTACTATTTTGTTTCTTGTTCATTCAGCAAACCTTGGTTTTCAGAAAATAAACACTCTGTATGTTTATCTCATTTTGAAATGTTTATCGTTCAAACAGATGCAAGTTTGAAGCTGTAGTGGCTGAGGTTGATAGAATTCTCAGGCCTGAGGGAAAGCTTATTGTCCGTGACACTGCTGAGACCATTAACGAGCTTCAGAGCTTGCTGAAGTCTATGCAGTGGGAGGTTCGCATGACTTACTCTAAAGAAACACAGGGCTTTTTATACATCCAGAAGTCCAAATGGCGGCCTACAGAATTGGAAACAGTAGAGTATGCCATTGGTTAAGCATGGTTAATATTCCAACAGGAGTTAGGTGATTTTTGGTTTTGGTTGCTCAATATTCTTGTGTAAGTGTGTTTACGCCATCATTCATGTATTGTTAAGTTAGGCATTTATTTTTTATTTTGGTAATTTATTTCGATCTCCACTGTTTGGAGACTTGTTTCTTTTGCTGTAACATGGCGCCATAGTTAAGGATTTCTGATCACATTCTTGCAATTGTAGAGGCATTGGATACTTGATAGTTAAGATTTCTCAAAGGTTTAGTAAGATGTCCACCAAAATTTGGTATTAGTTTTGTAATTGAATATTTGGACAAGAACAAAAACAGTATATTATTGATTCAAATATCAAATACTGATAGTCAATACTAATACTAGCTGTCTTGTAAATCTATTAATTGAAAACGTAAATCTGTTTTGTAGATTTGTTTTTATTATTAACCAGTAAGAGATCCATGCATTTGTACAATGTCGTTATAAAAATTCTAATAGAAAATTAGTTGAAATTCTCAGACATCTATTTGAACCATCAAATCATGCATTATGAGTAATGTCATGTCTTTCATATAAACATGACAAATAATTCATAATTACGACAAATAATTCTTTATAATTGTATCTTCCATATAAACATGACAAATAATACCTTGAGTGTATATGATGACAATATATTATTACATGATACAATTCTAATAACCAAAATCTAAAAATTTGGTGTATGAACATGTACAGCCACCTTTACATTTTAATTTTTTTTAAAGACCAAGATCAAAAATTAATATTAAATTTTAATTTAAAAAAAAAAGACCAAGATCAAAAATTAATATTAAAAAAAGGCATAAGCAATGCCATGGGTACAATAAGTATATAAATTTATGGGTTAAATATGTTCGAAGTTCCTCTAAGTATGTCAACTTTTAAGTTTAGTCTCTAAAAATTTTCATCGAATAATAATCCTCACAAAGTTTCCCGTCTCCAAATCTGATCCCTCATGTTAGTTTTCAGTAATGAGGCTTATGTGGCATGTCACATGTGTTCTTTTCATGGTCACGTCAGTTTTATTTTGAAATAATTTTTTTTATCATAAAAAGTAGATCCAAACACAGTGAACCCTAATCCCCTTCTTATTGTTATTTTACCGTCTTCCTCCATTACATGAGTTTCCTTCCACTGTTCACATTCAACTGATCTCATTGTTCTTCTTCTTATTTGTCCCCCCTCCATCTCTGACATATGTCGTCTTCATCAAGGTTAAGCAAAGTAGTGTCGTACTATTCCACGAGTGTGACGAACCGTGGAGTGAAAAGGTGTGGATGCAATGGTGTTATGATTTCATACATGTGCAAGAATGGAAAGAATGAAGGTAGATTGTTTTGGAGATTCTCGTATTAGAAATATGAGGGTACTTGCAATTTATTCATTTAAGATGATGAAATTGCACAAGAAAAGGATGATGATGAATATGTAAATGCAGAATGGAGGAAAGATGAGATTAAGGTGAGGGATATGACAGCTGTAGAAACTTTGAAGGAGTTTTATGAATCACCCATAAAGGAGAACAAGAGGTTGAAGATGAAGATCAAGGCAGAGGCAATTTAGGGAAAGCTGAAGACAATTTGTGTTGTAATTTCATTTTTGGTCAACTTATATTTGTTAATTAGGTGTAATTGTTGAATTGATCAATGTCTGTAATGTTGTCTAAGTGGATTTGTCTGTAAGTGGATTTGTCTGTAATACTGTGTTATTGGTTTTATCTGTAATGTTGTATCATTGGTTTTGTAATGTTGAATTGATATGAAATAGAATTTGGTGTAATTCATTTTGTATTGTTCATTTGGTATGGTATGGTATTGTCTGTATTGTTCAGTTATAACCTTTAATATCACACTTCAAGTTTTTCACACAATCTGACCTATAAATTGGACATTGTGTAATGTATAATGTTGACATAATATGATGTCTAATTTTGCAGACAAGGTAACCTTAAAATTTAGACATAAAGTGACCTATAATTTTGGCATAATATGAGCTATAATTTTAGACATAAGGTGACCTATAATTTTGGCATAATATAAGCTATAATTTTGCCATTAAGTGACCTATAAATTTGGCATAATATGAGCTATAATTTTCACAGAAAGTGATATATAATTTTCTCATTAAAACTACACAAATTTCACCAGAATAGTATAATTATTTTGGCATAGCATAATGTGTTCAAAATAATACATCAGTGTCATTACATTAGCATACCATAATATGGTCAAAAGACTACATCAATACATTACATTGAGCAAAATAGTACATCGGTGCCATTACATTAGCATACCATGATTTGTTCAAAAGACTACATCAGTACATTACATTGAGCAATACAATACATCAGTACATTACATCAAAATATTTGTTCCTAAACAGGTGCATTGAGCAAAATACTACAACTTCATTGGGTTAGACCCTTGTCAATTGTGTTGTCTTCTTCAGTTAGAACCAAAGGGTCACTAGGTTTCTTTTTAGGGCCAGAAATGTTCTTTGTTTTCAAGGTCCTTAACCTTTCACTATGCCTTTTTTCTGTTGCAATATTAGTTTGTGTCTTGTACCTGCTATGGGTTTTAAATCTTATTGGTTCACTTGAACTTGGCCTTGAAAGATTTGTTCTAATACTAGGTGGTTTGAAAGGCTTGTTCTTTCACATGCTTGTTTGCTTACCAAAGAAAATCTTTACACTACTTTGCCTTGGTTCAGCTTCCTTGAGAGGTGATTTGTCAACCCTTAAAGGTTGAATGTCCAAGACATCATCAACCCCTAATAATGCAGCCAGAGTTTCACCCAAACATGAAGAACGTATAGGTTGGTCCCTTTTAGTTAGCTTAGTTGGTTCAATTACCATTTCCTCCGTGACATTTTATTCTTTGTTAGTTGGATCAGTTACCATTTCCTCAATGACATTTGTTTGTTGGACAGTTGCTTCATTGGCAGTTGTTTTTCCATCATTGACAGTTGCATCAATTGCTTCCTCAATGACTCTTGCTTCATTAACAGTTGTCTCCTTAGTGACAGTTTCTTCCTTGACAATTGGTTCCTTAGTGTCAGCCGCTTCATTAACAGTTTCTACCTTGGCAGTTGGTTCCTTTACTGTTGTATCTTTGACAATTACATTTTTGGCTTATCCCTCATTGACTTTTGTATTCTTTGTTCCACCCTTAGATGTACAATTGGTGGTATATCCCTTAGGCATCCCTTTCATGAAACAAGCACAACATTAACATTGTTACCCAGTCTTATAATTAATTACATATAAGCATAAAATTTAAGTTAAACATTAGTCTTTTTTGGGGTGCAAAATTGACTTTGCTAGTCTGACTTGCTTGTGTAGGCATCTCTTGAGATACTTGTGTAGGTAAGTCTTGATTGGCCTGGTTGGGCATCCCTTTAATGGGATGGATGAGAAACCCTTGACTAGTCTGGTTGGGAATCCTTTGACTGACCTGAGTGGTATTTCCATAAGGAATGATCACAATTTGCTTGTTCTTCTTGCAGGTCCTTTTGTTGTGGCCTAGTTCAAAACAAGCCTTGCACCTATGACTTGTATTTGTTCTATGCCATTTTGTCTGGTTCACTTCATCTGGATCTCTCCTTCTAAGTTTCTTGGGCCTCCCTGGGCCACGTTTGAACAAAGGGGGCATCATAGTTTCATTAGGTGTTCTAGGCCATTTGTTTTGGCCATTCAATGAGGGGATCACTTCACTGTAACATTTTTCGTATGTGCTTTTGTCATAACATGTAACACCCCAGAAATTTTCTCTCCCTTTTGTTGACCTTTTTTTGTTGTTGTCTTATGCTTCATTTCATTTGCATTCTTCATTTATGCATTGCATTGTTCATCAGACATAGGATCAAGGATTCTTGACATTTCTCAAGAGAAGGAGATGGTTCTCAAAACAATGAGCAAGAAAATGGTCTCAGCATCATGGTATTCTTAAGCTATAAGGGTTCCATACTCATCAAAGTATCTCAACAAGTTCACCCAATCATTTGAGGATTAGGGTTTCATTGGTTTCAAAGGCATTCATCTGATCAAGCTCCTAGTGGTTCTGAGCTAGGGTTTTTGGTTAAAGGCTACTTGTCATTGTTTTCTTGAGCAAGATAAGGTTCCATGGGTTAATTTACCTCTCAAGGGTTCTATATAAGCCTCAAGTTTTATCATAAATCATTTCAAGGGTTTCTGAAGTGGATAAAGGAGGCATTGGATTCATCTGGTCAAAAAGTCAACTAATGCCCTACAAAAGTCAACTCTTGAGTTCATGGGTCACATTTGGGAATTTCAAGTCATCATCCATGTTATTATGAGTTTTGATCAAGAAAAATAAAGAGGAATCACAAAATCAGGGAAAGTTGTCAAATTAAGGTTTTGGGAATCTTTCAAAATATGGAAATTCAGCTTAGAGGGCATGTTTTCAACAACACATTTCTTGATGATTCAAGCTCCATCTCACTTTTCCTCCAACATGAAACTTGTTCCTCATTCTTCAATATTTCTTTTGATACCAAAACACATCATTTGGATCCCTAGAACCCAAGTTATGATGTTTCAAAGGCGAGAAAATGAAGTTTTTCTGATGTAACGGGTTACATCACCCATGTAACCGGTTACATCACTGTTACTCAACCACATAGTGCACGTTTGAGATGATGTAACCGGTTACCTCAACCATGTAATCGGTTACATCACTGTTTTTGACAGAAAATCAATATTTTCAGCAACTTCTCTCTCATTTGTTTGATCACTTGGGTTCACATGTGCAAGAAGGATCTAGAATGCTTCAAATTTTGAATAAGTTCAATTTCCCTCTAAAACTCAAATAAAATCCATTCCTAATTCCAAACCCAAAATTCTAACCCACACTCCAAACCTCATTTAATTCCAAACCTAAACTATACTTAAACCAATTTGCTCCAAATCTCTCATAACTTCACTCATTTTTTCTGATTTCTCTATATTTT